TTTATAGGGTCTAAAATAAGAGTTATAATTGTAATGAGATAGATTTTTTGAACTAGATAAGACTTATCTATATATTATGATAATATTAAATAATCATCAATAATTATCTCATTTATTTTACAACACTTTATTTTTTCTTATATTATATGACTTTCCCATTTTTATTACCATTTGCAAACAAAGAAAAGACGAGAGCAACATTTGTCTTATAAGGACTTGTTTGACATACATAAAAATTAATTTAGTTAATATCATACATTCTCCTTGAGGTATATGATTTATTTATTTTTTTGGAAGACTTGAGGTATGCGATATTATGTTTGACACCAATTCTCATTCTCATTTTTTTTTCTTTCATTATTTCAACCACACATCCTCCAAATAAAATAATATTACACACAGATTTAAAATTTTTCATTGCTTTTTAACCATACATTTTTTCATCAATCACTATTCCAGAATTTATTTTTTCCCCAAAATGGGTGTCAAACACAAGCTATATAGATACTCTTTATTTTTGTAAAAATTACATTAACCTCCCTACAAGAAATAATAATTTTTTTTCATGTATATCTTTCTACAATAGGCCCCTGGTTGGTTTAAATTAAAATTTCAAGTCAAAATTAAAAATTAATTTTAAAAACACATTTCATAAGATTCAAAATTTTCCAATTATACATTTTATCAACTTTTATCAAAATCTACTAAAAATCTACACCAAACAGGGATTAGATTTGGAACGATCTTTTTTTTTTTCTTTTTTTTTCACCCTTTAATTTTCTTGATTTAGATAAGATTTTTTATTATTATTTAAAATAGAAAAGTGTTTTTTAACTTGAAGGAAGTTCATTTTTTCCCATTTTGCAAAAATCGTTATAAACTCAATTAGATTTTTCAAAATTTCATTTAAAGAAAAAAGAACAAAAATAATAAAAAAATGTTAACTAGAAAAAGGAAAAGAAAAATAATTCAAAAATCGGATCTTATTGGTTTTTAACTTTACAGTGCTTACTGGAATTAAAATAAGAGGAATTCAATTTTCTAAATTAAACAGGGCATAAATATATTTATATAAATATAGAAAGTTAAAAGAACAACATAAAGGAAGAATGATAATACTTTTAAGGGTGCTTATATTAACACTACAATTTTTATTTATTACACAACATTTTAATTGCAATTACTCTTCTCAAACTTTGCTCATTGTAGTAATTATTTCTTTTAACTTTTTTTCGTCGAATTCTTATCCTCAAACTTTCCATTAATTAGCACTTTTATATTTAATAGCAATTTTATGTTAAAAAGTTCGACGAAATGACGTAAAATAACTTATTTTTTTATCATATATTTTTTTTAAAAAAAGTGCGATAAAATGTTTCCCTAATTTCAAAGTATACAAATAAAATATTTTGATATAAATCATCGTAGAGAGGACGATACATACTAATTAATAGAAGGTTAAAGATAAGAATTCGACGAAAAATCATTAGGATATAAAATATATAATGAGCAAAAATTAAAAACTTTAACTACAATTAAAATGTGGTGCAAGAAAAAAATAGTGAACTAAATATAATTACTCTACTTTTAACTTTTCAAATATATTGAGTGTCTCTGTAATAATTAGATAGCTCCCGATATTAACTCAATTCAATAATATAATTTATTTTTTTCCCTTGCTGATAAACTAAAGCTTTTTAAGCTTTCTGTAGTAAAATATTTTAAGGCAGTTTTAGATTCAGTTGGGAGATGGGACTCGTTCTTACAATCAACCAACCACCTATCCTATAATTTCTCAAACTGGAGAGTTTATAGGAAACGTGATAGATTGATTCAGTGAATTGACAGTAAATTTATACCCCAAAGAAACACTTCACTAATCAAAACTTGTTTTAACATTAACATCAACGAACAAACTAATATTAACGTTGTTGCCATCCTCCATCAACATGGCTGAACCAGAAAAAACTACTAATAATCCACCTCCAGAGTCAGTATCACTGACAGTTTTTGAAGAAAAACCTGAAACCAAAGAAGAAATTCCTGATAAAGCTGAACCAAAAAAAGAGATTATGCGAGGAGTAAAATCACTTAATTCCAAGAAAATTGTGCTTCCATTAGCCCTACTTACTTTTCTTCTTTCTATCCCAATCCTGTTTTTAGGTATATGGTTGCTTTACATTCAGCAATGTGATTGCGAAGGGCTGTTGAAAAACTTACCCAGATTGCAAATTGGGATTGGCATTGGAATGTTGGTTATTTTCTTCCTTAGCAATGCTGTGATTTACACCAGGGCTAAGTTTCCTGTACCTGGGCTGGTCATGATCGTCGTTATGATGATTTTAACGCTCATCGTAGGGCTCGGGATTCTCGGAGATTTTAAGATGGAGACCCGGAGGATCGTTGCTTCACCGAGGTGGCTTGAACTGAAGGTGCATAATAGCAATAATTGGAATGATATCAAGTCTTGCATATATGAGACCAGAACATGTAAGGATTTGATATCCAGATCGTATATGCTCGACTCCAATGGCATCTCGACTAATAAATTGTCCCCCATCGAGGTACTATTCATTCACACATCGGTTTTTTTGGCAAATATCTTATTTCTTATCTTATCGATTTTGATATGACATGCATTTATATTTATCTTATTTGATTTGAATCCTTTTGTTTTTCTTTGTATCTTTACAAAGTCGGGATGCTGCACGCCGCCATCGATATGCGACATGGAGTTCGTGAATGCGACTTATTGGAGAAGAGGAAACAAAGATATAGATGGCACAATCCCATATGACAGAGACTGTGATTTATGGCAAAATGATGAAACCATGCTATGCTTCAACTGCAATGCATGTAAAAATGGATATGTTAGGACATTAGAAGGAAAATGGTTGAAACTTGGGACTTTCCTTAGTGTTATGTCCTTGTTACTTATAATATCCCATTTGTTGTTATTTGTTGCTACAATGGGGGAGCAGTATGCAGGTTAGCAGCAGATATTTGTAGGCTGCTTTTTATCTTCTGGTTTTATTCTATTGTGGCCGATTTTAAGGAATTATTTTTTCTTTTAGTTCTTGGTTTATTATGACATTTTTGTTGCTTTCTAATGGATTATTCAAGAAAAAATGTGGTTGAAACTGTTAGTATTTTCTTTCCAATATTAATTACATCAGAAAAATTCTGTGTGATAAGTAGTGTAAAATGAGAACTTCCAAGTTCCAGTTGTGGAAAAAGTACTGTTTAAGAAATTCTTTTATTTAAAATGAAAGGCTGGAAATGATTAACATGTTTGAAAGTGACACGGGAAATTGCACCTACGATCTAACCTATTGGGATAAAGTTAATGAATTCTTTTTCGAGAGCGATTCATGCTTTTTAAGCAGTATACAACCGTGTTGTAGTATGTGCTTGTTCATCCTTGGCTAACTACAACATCAACAGATGATCTAAAACTGGAAATTAGAGAGAAAAAAGGGCAAGGAAAACCAGGAGGCTGTGTAATATAGGAGAGTAAAATACACGTCCCAGAGAAAGTATTAGTTTTTGTACAGTTTGATTCCAAGAAACAAGTTTGTAAAGAACTACAGGAATCCAGTTCACCGGACAAAATGAAGAATCCAAATGAACTATTTGGAGGAAGTATCACTGGTAGATGTATCTGATGCACATTCACCTCAGAGTATGAGACATATCATATGATCCTCCCCAAGCGGGATTAACAGCAGGAGTAGTGCCACTGCCAGATGGAATCATTCCCTCTCCAGCAACACCACCCATGTAATGAGGTCTACCATAACCATCCATAAACCCTACATTTGCGTTCATCGGATGTGGATGTGGATGTGGATTCATGTACGGACCACCATATGGGGTTGGAACTACACATTAAGAAATTGCAATTAGTACAAATGGAAAAGAATGGTGCAGAATCCTAATTGATGCCTGAAATTATAAATGAAGTTGATTACCATGTGCCTTCTTCTCAGCATTTAAAACCTCAGCATGCAGTCTTTCCACTTCTTCAGCCATACCAACCAGATCTTTCTCCATGACCTTCATCTGTTCCACTTTCTCTACGTTTAGACCTTTTTCATATTCAAAGGTCTTGCTGCAGTCCCAGACAATAAATAACAGTTTCAATAGATGAACTACTATTGTCCAATTAAAAATAACATGAAATTGCAGTTAAGAGTACTGCGTAATCCATTGATTTCAAATTATCTTAGCATATTTTTGTCTTTGAAATAGAGTCAACCCACAAGTCTCCAATAAATATGCAGGAAAAAAAGCATCAAAAACACCTATTAGCAAATCCTTCAGATAACCAATAAATCCCATCAAGTTGCAATCCATTACAATAAATAAATATCAAATGAAATCCATGGTGAGAGATCATCGAAGAATATAATGAACAGGAAAACACTCACCGCAACCTCTGGTGTTCTTGCCTCAAGCTATCGAGTTCCGCATTCATTTCTGGAAGCTTTTTCAAGTCATCATGCGCTTTATCCAAATCCTGAGTGGCTTTCAGGATTTGACCAGTCAACTCTTGCTTTGCTGTCACCAAGCTTCGTGCTTCAAGATGGGCCTGTTGCAGGTCCTTCTTAACCCTCTCACCAGCTCTGATGTCAGCTTCCCATTTTGCAATCTTGTCCAACAAAATCCGAATCTGAATATCACCTTCGGTTTGTGTGCTTCTTATATGTTCTCTAAGTTTATCTACTTCCTGTTGAGCAGCTACAAGATCTTGCCTCAAGGCCATATGGGCAGATGTCAATTTCTGATAATCTGCAGAAAGGGTTTCTAATTCTGCTGCCTGAGAGACAAATTTATTCTCCAAAAATGCTGGAGAAAGTGGTTCTCTAGGGTGGTGGGCAGCAGACAATGGACCACGGCGCGTCATGCCTGGAGCATCAGAAGAACGCCCTTCATGTCCTAGTGGTATATTCCTTCTAGAAGCCATTTGAGCCAAAACCTACTAAGACTGGAGAATTTCGCCGCTATTTGTCATAATACAAAAGCAACACAAAATTAAAAGTTACAGTCCGTAATAAAACTAAGAAAGCAATTAATAGCATTGTGATAGGACAGAGCTGACTGAAAAAGCAAGCAGACTCAAGGCAGATAGCTAGCAGTATCAGAATATCGTGTTCTCTAATTGATTTGGATCCAGGGTACACTGAAGCTTTTGTACAGTGCCATCCTGATCTTAACTATAGCAGAAATCATATTTCAAGACTGCGCAGTATACTCATTGCAATACAGATATTTACAGAAAGTAGTCATTTGTAGTACTAAATATTTCAAAATCCTTTGTCACACATCTATCAAAATTTAGTCCATCAATAACATATCTGAAATTGTATAAGGAATAAAAAAATATGATTGCAAAACTGAATTTATTTTAAATAGAAGGAAAACTAATTCTGATAGCACAAAAAACCTCCCAGGGACAAGTTGAGGCAAGCAAAACATTCGCTTCAGCTATTCCTCCACGGATGGAATTCCCTTGTTTCAACCATGGGATGGTGGAAAAGGGGTATGGTCAGCTCAATATTGCAGTTCTTATTCAGCCTACAAATAGCTAGTATATGGATATCTCAAGTCCACAGAATGAATCAAGAGTACGAACCACAACTACGGAATAGGTATGATTCATCGTACAATGAGAATAGGTAATTTCAGATAACATGGTAAAAATGGAATTCGTTGATTCAGGAAATTGTGTAGGTACTCTATGTGGAAATGGAAATTTTCGAGAGTTTAGAAAATCAGGGGTATATTGGCATTATTATGCAAAACTGTAAGAAATACATATCATATGGCAGCGATGTCGCCATTCTCACCCAAATAGGCAACCAAGATTTCGAGTGGTAATTAGCAATGTATCCTTGTGAAGGAAATGCAAGACTTTGCACATTGATCGCTAGGGGAAAAAAATAAATCTAATGGCCTACCTTAGAAAAAAACTGAGGAAGTTTGTCAAGTGGAGACAATCTCTTTTTGGAAGAGAAATCTACATTCATTTAAAGAAAGCAAAAGGGAAACAACATGAAGAGAGAAACATTAATCATTTTCAGATTATGCTTCTGTCATTTCCTTTGAGGCTTATGTTGATTGTGACATTTTGCTGGTACCAATTGAACTACCTACCTACGGTGCCTAATGCTTGTAATGACATTTGAATTTGGACAATTGAAAAAGGTTTGTCCTTTTCATGCATTATCCGCCTGCACTTCTAGGATTCCACATTTCCATAAACTTCACCACCTACAAGGCCATCAACCTAGATAATCAACTTTTTTTAATGTTTGTCTTTTGAAATATAGCTCCATGTCCAGGAAGATAACATCAAGATTTGGGACAAACTGCCAGCGAGAAATTTCCAAAAGTACGGAGGATTTGGTATTGAAAGCTTGACTCTCAAACCGTGAACAGTGGACAGGAAAAGGAGTAAGGAAAGGTCACATATAGGAAAATTGTATTCCTGTTTTCTCAAATTCAATCAATGCTTACACTGGCAAATTTAGATAACTCGCAGCCGTGGATAGATACACTGCCACTTGTCCTGTGATTGGCCCGATTTAAAGCCAATGACGTATGCACGTATAGATTCCCCTAATCCCTTTACAGGACACTGTATAGTACAGAATCCAGACACCGGCATTGCATGGAAGATCAAGATTCTCTCATTCTTTCCTGTTTCTATCGAGCATTTATGAATTAAGTTTTATGAACAAGTTATTTCCTGTTTCTCCATTTCAATGAAGCAAACGCAGGCAGCAAAAACAAATTAATTACTTCTATTCTTCCCTTAACATCCTTTTCTAGTTCCCTATTTCAGTGACAGCCTCTTTCCAACTCCACCTGCCGGAGTCTATATCCCCTAGACTTCGAAACCCTCCCCAAAAAAGGGGGTTTTACACTAGTACAACCCACCTATGAGTATAACGCATACATATACGTTCAGCGCGTGATTTCTATTCAATTTCTTCTGAGTAAATTCAGTGATCAGATGTCATTTACCGAAAACCAAAACTATTAAAATGAATTTTACAGTTAGCTACGCCACTGAAAATTGGAAGTGCACAAAGAACATTTACTTACGATGATAACAAATTAAAAAATGCCGATTAAGAAAAATAGACGAAAAATATAAAAACCTGAATGTTTAGACTATCTGAACTCTGAAGAAACACACGCAGAGAAGAGGATACATGAATGAGAAATTGCACTCTGGGCCAGAGAGGCGTTTGGCTAAATTTACAGAGTATTAATTATTTTCTGAATACAAAAAAAAATTATTTGTTTTGTATCCTTATAATAATTCATTATTGTAGACATACCGCCCCCAATTTCAGAAATTACAATTTTTATTTCTGAGACTTATTTTTCTTAACATATCATCCTTTATGATTTTTCAAAACTTCAATACTTATTATTTTTTTTTTTTACATTTTTATATACATGCAGTACACTTGAAATAAAAGAAAAATATTTATTGAAAACTATTAAACAACCGTTAGTGTATTTGTTGGTTATGAAAACTGGTAGACGAGAAATTGGTGAAAAAAAAGATCCGAAGATCAACTTCAACGACGATAGAGGACGAGACAACCGATGAGCCACCAACTGTATTTACTTCTTCGACTGAGACAAGAGGCGAGGGGGCAAGGCAAAAAAGGATCTGCCTGGGATCTGAAGGCAACGAAGATTTGAAATATATGTACGTCCCAAAACACTGACAATCATGAATTTGAAATGAGGACCCAAGTTGGGGTTTCCTATAAAACCAAAATGATGGATGCTATAAACCCTATGGGCTCAGAAGCAGAAGATGAAGGGCAAATTGAGGATGACGGGTCTGTCTCGGATGATGATGTACTGGAAGATAGAGCTAGGCGTGAGTTGGGTTGGATTGATTTTGAGTCCAACCCAATATATTCGGTTTGCCAATAATTCAAATTGAAACCAACTCATTAACGGTTGAAACCCAACCCAATTCAAACCAACCAAACTCGGGTTGGTTTTGGTTATGTTGATTGGTTTGGAAAAATTTGATATTATTTCAATTTGGACCAATTTCAGTTACATTAAAATGGATGATTTGAAAGACATTAAGTCGATTGAAGTTGGATCAATGGTCCATGAGATTAAATTCCGTTCCAATTGAACAATATAAATTAAAAAGTTTGTAAAACCTGTTAAATATACTATATCATGATTAAATTAAATACATATTAAATCAATCTAAATACATGTTGAATGTCTGCATATTATACCTATTGAATAAAATGAATTCAACATAAATACTAAAAATGTAAAATCATCCAAACTTAATATAAAATCACCTCCTTCAATTCAAGGGNGTAAAATCATCCAAACTTAATATAAAATCACCTCCTTCAATTCAAGGGTTTATTCAAAAATCACGTCAAAAAATTCAGCCTAGAAGTCGAGGCACGAGCAACAATGAGAGGCAGGAGAGACAAGAAGCAGGAGAGACGTGAGGCACGAGAGAATTTTGATCAATAGGTTTTAGATTTTTGGTTTTAAGTACTAATTTTATTTTTAATATTTTTTAATTTTTGGGTAACCCAACCCAACCCAACCCGACATAAAATTTGATTTCTTAACCCGAACTCAACCCAATTGAACTAAAAAACCCAATCCAAATCGATTGGTTTGGATATGGCTGGACAAAACTCTCGAACCGAATCGCACCGAACTGAATCGAATCGAGCGGTTCTTCATTAATTAAGTAAACAAACGGATATCTGAATCGAGAACCGATATGTTTGGTTCGATTTTCGATTCTAGACCAAAAATCGAATAACCGAATCTAAATAAATTTTTTAATTTTATATTGAATTAATTAAATTATTTTATTTTTTTCTAAAAAAAATTTAGAAAATTAACTAATTTAGTTGAACATTTTTAGTTTATTTGTATTTGTTAATTATGTTTTTTCAATTATGCTTGTAGAGTTTCTTAGTATGACAAGTCAAACAATTGATGATTAAATCAAATTGATTAAATCAAATAGTTGGTAAGTAATAACCAATACTTCAAAATATATATATATATATTTTTATTTAGGCTGCTTGAAGCAAATGAATTATTGATATGAATCACTAATATTTTAGTATTAGTGTCTATTTTTTGGTATTTATATAAATTAATCTTATTGGACAACTTGTTATTCATATTTTTTAAATTGGGTTACGTTAATTTGTAAAAGTTACGAATGAACATGTCATTAATTATATTTATGTACTGTTGTTGTAAATGTTAAAAAATTTAATTATGGTACAGAATCTAACCGAATCAAACCTGAACGGTTCCATAATTATATTTGAACCAGATGATTCCATTTATTAAATATCCGAGAATTTTGGTTCGGTTCGGTTCGATTCTGAAGATAACCGAACCGGACTATGTCCAGCCATAGGTTTGGGTTGGATTGATCGGTTTGACTGATTCGGATTGGTTTTTGTCCAGCCCTACTGGAGGATTTTTTGATGGCCTTTCCATACAATTGACTAAGGAGGAGAAAAAACGTATACGAGAACCCTGGAATAATATGTCAATTATAAAGTTATTGGGCCATCCAATTAGCTATACCTATCTTTGCAATAGGATTAAACAATTGTGGTTCGCTTAAAGGAAGATTTAAGGCAGTGGACATGGATGATGGATTCTATTGTATCCGATTTGGTTTGAAATTGGATTACAATTATGTTTTGGAGAATGGACCTTAGATTATAGCCGACCATTATCTTACTGTGAGGAGATGGAGCCTTGGATTTCAGTCTGAGGAAACGATGATTGATACTATAGCTTCTTGGGTTTGTTTTCCTAGTATGCCACTGGAATTCTATGATAGTTCGATCTCAAGACGAATGGGAAACTTAATTGGAAAGTCAATCAGGATCGAGAGAACTACATCGAACATATTGTGAGGCAAGTTCGCAAGAATGTGTGTTAAAATGGACTTGACAAAGCCTTTTGTTTCGAAAATATTCATAGGGGGACATTGGCAAAAAGTAGAATATGAAGGTTTAAAGATCCTATGTTTTTACTGCGGAAAGTTCGATCACAATGATATGGAATGTGAAGTTAAGAGAAAGGTAAATGAGGGTCAAACAGAAGAACGGGCATAAAGATTGCCTGAGATTATTAAAGAATATCACGCAATCACCTGTATTCTACAAGAGGAATGAGCCAACTGATGTTGGAAATTAGTTTGTTATTTTATTTGTTCTGTGCTGAGTTGTACATAAGGGCAATATTGTATTTTCCTTCTATAGGTTGTTAGAATATTCCTTTGTAATTGTATTTATATGTATTGATACACAAACAGCAAAATACAAGGGAAGTAAGATTTTCTCTTCTCATCATTTTCTTCATTCTTCTGGTTCTTTGCTCAGCTATTTTATGGGCTTTTCTCCTTTTCATTTCATTTTGTTACCTGGTATCAGAGCTTCCTTCGATCCCAAACCCTGCCATGCCTAGCAATTCTGATAAAGAAGACTCTAACACAGTCACTAAAACTTTGGGTGAAAGGTATCTCAATTTTTCAGACCCTTTCAATCATTTTCGTATAGACAATGGTGATAATCCAACCGCTGCTTTGGTCTCGGACCTTTTAACCGCTGATAACTACGTTAGTTGGTCTCGTGCTATTAGCCATGCCCTTCGTGCCATGAACAAGCTTCGTTTTATCAATGGCACTTTACCAAAACCAACAAATGCTGCAAATCCTTCGTGCTATTAGCCATGCCCTTCGTGCCATGATTGCTACGACAGAGACCGTGTTATACAATTTCTCATGGGCCTTAACAATGTTTATTCCTCCTCAAGAGATCAAATAATGCTTATTAAGCCCTAGCTCCCTCTTAACCGAGTTTTCTCAATGATTCAACAACAAGAACATCAACACCTCATGCTTAATCAATATCCCACCCCTGACCTTATGGCTATGACGGCTAAAACCATTTTCCAAATCACCAAACATAACCATAAATCTTTCTATCCAACATACAAAAATCAACCCGCCCCAACGGCACTTACTACAAAATTCAAGGCCACTCCCTTGCCAATTGTTTTAAGGTTGGAAATGCTACCCTACCTCTTTGCTCCCACTGCAACATGCCGGTTAGTCAATTGACAAATGTTATAAACTACATGGCTATCCACCTGGTCATAAACTCCATAGAAAGCCAAAGCACTCTGCTACTGTTGTTGCTTCATCCCAACCATGTTCCAATGAAGACATTGATGAGGAACTTACTAAGCCCATGGCTCTTACCAAAAGCCAATATAATCAACTCCTTATGTTGGTGAACTCTAAAGACTCCAGTTCAGCCATGGCCACCATCTGAACTGTTCGACCTTCCCCATCTCCTCATACAGTCCATGACTCAAAAATTTGTGGTATGGTTACCTGTTTATCCACTAAAACACACACACACACACACACACACCTATTTCATCATAAACTTCTCATTGGATTATTGATACCGGAGCATGGTTTGTTGTCCCTCCCTTTACACATCCATCACTACCACTACTTATTCTTTCGTTAAATTTCCTAATGGTACATATGTTCCTGTTACTCACATCGGTATTGTACGTCTCTCACAAACTTTAGTGCTTCAAGATGTACTTCGTGTTCCCTCATTCAGTTTTAATTTAATTTCTACCAAAAAGCTTGCTATTAATTCAGCCTGTTGTCTTATTTTCTTCTCTCATTCATCTTTGTACATGACTTAACTTCATAGACAACGATTGAGATGGGTGAAGTGAGATGTGGCCTATAGCATTTGCTGAGATTTGGTGTGTTACCCTCAGCCTTGGTTGATGTTTTTCCAGCTTTCCTCCATAAAGAACAGCCTCTTAGTGCTTCAATCACTCGCAAGAATTCTTTTTCAGATTTATGGCATTGTAGGCTTGGACAAATTTCATTTTCTAGACTTCTTTTAATCATTGATCCCCTTGTAAGATTAACCATGAATTCTACTAATCAATCACCTTGTTGTGTTTACCCTTTGGCCAATCAACATCTCTTTCTTTTCCAATTTTCACAACTCAGTCTCTTCATGCTTTTGATATTGTTCACTGTGACATTTGGGGTCCTCACTCCACTGTTGCAGTTGATGGCTCTCGATTTTTTCTAACTCTTGTCGATGATTTCTCAAGGACCACATGGGTTTACATGTTCAAAACCAAATATGAAGTACGACAATGTTTTGAAATTTTTTATTCCTTAATTGAAACACAATTTGACAAAAGAATCAAAATACTTCAAAGCAACAATGGCAAAGATTTTTCATGACATATTTCTTTACATCTAAGGGTATTATACAAAACAATTTGTATCGAAACACCCCCAAGAAAATGGGATAGTTGAGCGTAAACACCAACACATCATTAACGTAGCTCGAGCATTAAAGTTTCAGTCTCATGTTCCTCTTCAATATTGGAGTGAACCGTAGTTTACATCATAAATAGGACCCCCACTCCCTTACTTCACAATAAATCCCCATTTGAAATCATTTTTGATAAACCTCCCAGTTATCATCACATGAGAGTTTTTGGTTGTCTTAGTTTTGCTTCCACTCTATCTCATGGACGTAAAAAGTTTGATCCGAGAGGTAGGAAATGTGTATTCCTAGGTTACCCATTTGGAATAAAATGTTACAGGCTACTGGACATACAAACCCACCAAATTTTATGTTCTCGGGATGTTGTGTTTCATGAAGTTTTTCCATTCCATACAAAGTCTTCCGAAACTACTACGTCTTTTCCTTTCCCCGTTCCTCTCACCACACCTACTCCTTTCAATTTTCAAACTCGACACTTCATTCCAACTGATCCTACCTCCCCTACCAGCAATACAATTCCCTCTTCAATCTCACCAGTTTCTTCCCCATCTATACTACCAGCCTTTCCTTCTACCACCATTTTTTCACCCCCACCCCTACCTCCACTTCCAACCCTCCTTACAGGTCAACCAGGACTAGGACTGCACCTAAATTTTTGTAAGATTTCCACTGTCAATAGGCATCTCTCATTTCTTCCAACTAATTGTTGCCCACGAAGCTTGGACCTTTACCAGGTAAGTCTTTTCATTTTTCTAATTCTATATCTTATCATGCTTTTTTACCTAGTTATCAAGCTTTTTCAGCCTCTATTTCCACCCATTTTGAACCTAAAACCTATAGACAAGCCCTTAGCCACCCGGAATGGTATCAGGCAATGGACAGTGAATTAGCTCCTTTCGAAGCCAATAAAATTTGGATTCTTATAGACTTGACTGCTGGCCAAGTTCCAATTGATTGTAAATACGTTTATAAAATCAAATATCATTCTGATAGTTCAGTTGAGAGGTTTAAGGCCCATTTAGTAGCCAAGGGCTACACACAGCTTGAAGGAGTCGATTTTCATGAGACATTCTCACATGTTGCCAAGTTGGTAACCGTGCGAACTCTTCTTGCCATTGCTTCAATTAAGGGCTGGCATTTACATCAATTTGATGTAAATAATGCCTTTTTATATGGGGATTTAAATGAGGATATTTACATGAAGAAGCCTCCCGGTTATACCAAAGGGAAACCCAATCAAGTTTGCAAATTACTCAAAAGTTTATATGGCCACAAACAAGCCTCCATGCAGTGGTATTCTAAGTTTTCCACCTCTTTAATTGAATCTGGTTTTTCTCAATCTAAGGCTGATTATAGCCTTTTCACCAAAGAGACTAATGGTTCTTTCATAGTTTTACTTGCGTATGTTGATGACATACATGTGGCTAGTGATAATATTTATTGTGTGAATACCTTGAAGGATTTTCTTGACAGCAAGTTCAGAATAAAGGATCTCGGCTCAATGAGGTATTTTCTTTGAATTGAAATTGCTAGATCCTCAAAGGGTATTCATTTATGCCAAAAAAAATACCTCTTGGACATTCTAGCCGATTCTGGCACTTTGGACAGTAAGCCGACTAAAGTTCCCATGGAACAAAATCTCAAGTTAACTCAATCTTCGAGCCATCCATTATCAGACCCAAGTATATACAGGAGATTAATTGGTCGTCTTCTCTACCTCACAATCACTCGACCCGACATTTGTTACACTATGCAAACCTTGAGTCAATTTACGGCTCATCCTACTGATTCTCACTTGTTGGTAGCTCAGAAAGTTTTGAAGTACCTTAAGGCTGCACTTGGACAGGGTTTACTTTTCTCAAGTTCATCGTCTCTTCAACTCCATGCATATTACGACTCTGATTGGGCCTCTTGTCTTGATACCAGGCATTTGGTAATAGGTTATTGCATATTCCTTGGCTTTTCTTTGATTTTCTGGAAATCTAATAAGCAATCTATTGTATCACGATCCTCAGCCGAAGCTAAGTATAGTTCGATGGCAACAACATGCTCGAAACTCACATGGCTACGCTACATCCTCTCTGCTCTTCATACATCCCATCCTCAAGCTGCCTTTTTGCATTGTAACAACAAAGTTGCCATCCACATTGCAGTCAACCCCATTTTTCACGAGAGGACAAAACATATAGAACTCGATTACCACTTGATACGTTATAAGATTCAAGAGGGCAGCATTCAAACCTGTCATGTCTCAAGTGCTCATCAATCGGCTGATATCTTCACTAAGGCTCTTTCCTCCATTGTTCTTCATCATCACTTATCCAAAATGGGAGTTCTTAATTTGCACTTTCCATCTAGCGGGAGTATTGAAGAATATCACGCAATCACCTGTCTTTAACAAGATGAATGAGCAAACTAATGTTGGAAATTATTTTGTTATTTTATTTGTTCCGTGCTGAGTTGTACATAAGGGCAATATTGTATTTTCCTTCTATAGTTTATTAGAATATTCCTTTGTAATTGTATTTATATGTATTGATACACAAATAGCAAAATGCACGGGAAGTAAGATTTTCTCTTCTCATCATTTTCTTCCTTCTTCTGGTTCTCAGCTCGGCTATTTTCTGGGCTTTTCTCATTTTCATTTCATTTTGTTATAGATGGGAAAATTTGTTCACAAGGAGTTTGAGAATGAGCGGTTTGGACCCTAAATGATTGCCAATAAGAAATATAGAAAGCATGTGAATGCTAAAACCGATGGTAACAATAAGCAGGGAGTGAAAGAAGTGTCGAGGGACAGCACTGGTGTCAGTAGGCTACATGTTTGCATTTTGAGGTTTTGGGAGGTGATGATGATAATATGGAAGAGATTGAGGTAGTACCAAATATCCCAGAGGACGACCAAGGAGATTTATCTGATATGTCTAGGGTGAAAAAGAACTTTCAAGTATCAGCTGTAGTTTCTAATAAAGGTACTCTGAAAAAGAGTGATAAAGGAAAAGGGATCCAGGACCATGCAGTTCAAGTTGTTTCTTCTAAGTTTGTATTTAAAGGAAAAAAAAAAGATGGTTGAAAAAGTAGGGGTATTTTGATGGATGCTTCCGACATAGTTAATAATCCACT